GGGAGTGAGGTGGAGGGGGTCAATGGGGGGAAAAATGGGACACCTGTAATACTTTCAACAATAAAGATAAATTTTAAAATAAAAGAATATAGAGCAATTCAGTAAAAAAAAGAAAAAAAGAATGCTAAGTGGGCCTACTGTCCCCTCTCTGATTCGTGGCATTTCACTGGTTTCCTGTCACCTTCTCTCATGACAGTTTCCTGTAGCCACACACAACCCCATTCTTGCTCGCTCAAACTCCAAAAAGCTATGTTAAAAATTCTCCTACTCTTATACCTCAAAATTGTTTTCTCTCTCATAATATTCTTCCGGCCTTCTGTCAGAGGAAGAAATTCTCTTCCTCATTATCAGGTTTGTTCTCTGCACTTTTGATTAACACCATTCCTAGTCTCTCTTAGTTATAATTGTAGCTCCTTGACTTCTGCCTCCTTCTCTGCCACTCCCTTTCTCTCATCTCCATTTACCATTCTTTCTCCACAAACCTCTTTTCCCCTCCCCGTGGACTGTATACTTGGTCATGGTTCCCTAACCTAAAAAATATGCCTTGATCTAATTAACTACTCAAATTGCATCGTACCTCTTACTTGCCTTTTATCTCCTAACTCAAAAGTGTAATCCCAATGACTGCCTGCTTAAAAACCCAAGACAGTCTCAGTTCCCAATCTCCTTGACCTTGCTATGAGGCATGAACCTTTCAATAGCTCCGCTTTGTCTAACTTCTTACCTCTGCATGGCACTCATTCGGCCTCTTTTCTGCCTACTCCTTCTCCTTATAGAGTCTCTTCTTTCTGAACTCAGCTTCCTTATTAGCCCTCCACCACAATCACAACCACCACAACCCCTGCCACTTCTTAATATTTTCATGTTGACAGAATCGGCTCTGTACCCACACACCTGGTCCCTCGATCTCTCTATTCTCTGCTTTTAGACTTCGTCTTTGTGTGCCCTGCACAAAAATATAAACATTTCCTATAAGATTCTGTTCTCTGCCTACTTCATTGATCTTAAACTTTCTAATGTAATCTCCTCACTTCCTTGCAACTTTAAACAGCACTCCTGTTTAGATAAATTACACTTTTTCAGCTTTTATGTCTAACCCAAATTTTAGAAGTGCATTCAAAATAAGTAAAAAGCTTCAGTCATCATCTCCCTGCAGTGATACTCTCCTGTTGAATTTTTTGTTATTATTAAAAGTACCCCCATTGTCCCAGAAAGCCAACCTAAGTCACCAAAATCATCTGAAACATCCTCCCCTTGCACTCACAATTTATCAGCCCTATCAGTTTTTTGGAAATGTCTCCTTTCTCTCCTTTCCAGTGCCATGTCAGCATCTATGTCTATGGTCTATGCCTTACCTAAGCAATTGCTAATTCTTAAGTGTCTTGACTTCAAGTTCTTATCTTTTGTAATCTTCCCTTTACATCAATGACATGTTTTAAAAACATTTTTGTCATTCCCAGTATTTTATCCAATAAAGCCCCAACTCCTTAGTTTGGTATATAAAGAACTTTATGACCTGCCTCCAAACTGACATTCCTAATCTTGTCTCCCATGTCTCCTCACTATTTTCTCTACCCTTCTACTAATATTATTTACCATTTCTGGAACATCACCTGAAAGTTAGTGCCCTTACACCTGTGTTTATGTTTTACTCTGGCTGAAAAATTTTCCCCCATCAGTCTCTCTTATCAAAATAGCTTCATCCTGTAGAGTCCTTTCAAATCCCTGCTCTCCTCTGAGGCCTTCCTGAAATTCACTTGGTAATTTGAGTCATCTGCTTTTCCTCCCACTGAGCCCATGGATGCCTCTGTTGAAGCACATATCCTAACTTTCCTTGCTTTAGTTATATGTTTGTCTTTCTTAAAAGTTCAAAAGACTTTGAGGGCAAAAAGCCAGCATTATTGACTTTTTATTACCTGTGTTTATTCCACATTATTAGCAATACATCTATTTAAGAAATGAATTAAACAGAGAACGTTGTCAATAGTTTTATGATACTGCTTCCTTTAAATTATGCCAATTTGTGCTAATGTTGTGCCTTCTATAACAGGTGGTGTTGGAAGTAAACAGTGAATTTATTGTTGAGGTAATGTATAATTTTAAAAACTATTTTCTCAATTTAAAATTGAAAGAAAAACTGAATTTTGCAATGCATCATATATCAAAAATCAGAATATTTGAAAATAGCAACAGTAAAATCCATAATTTTAAATTTCCATGTTTTCAGGCATGGTTTGTGACAGCTCCGTGCCATAGCAGCTCTTACCTATCAGACTATACTAGTAGCTTATTTATGTTTCCCAGCCTACAGCAAAGCAAAAGAAGCAAAGTAGCACTTTGGAATGGGAAGAGGATTTTTAGACATTTGTACAGTCAGTCAATTAGAGAAAAATACAAATAACAAAAAAATCTGTAATCACAACTAAATAAGACAACAGAGAATCCAGAGCCATTTAGACTGGGACTTGGGAAATAAAACCACTATCTTCTATGGTAGGGTTTTATTTTATATAGTAGTTAAATTTTCATTATGATAATATCAAATAATTTAAAAAATATATAATTACTTTTGTAATCTTTGTTGACAAAATAGAGAATAAGTGGTACATTTTAGGAAGTTGCATAAAAATGGAGAAAATGTAAATGCTTTGGTTCTTGAAAGTATAGCTCCATTCACATGGAACATCTCCTCCCCTCAAAGTGGTAATTAAATGAAGCCTTAGCTTAAACAAACATACAATTATCTATGTCTCAACAAGTACATTAAGAGTTACAAATATATATATATATATATGCATGTGTATACATGTATACACAAATGTTTATGCGTATAGTAACATTTCTAAAGTCTTTAATAGTATAAAATTCATAAATACTCTCCAACAATAACAAATAAGACTATAAAGAGAAAAACATATAACAAGCAGAGATACAAATGGACAGCACTAAGAATCCATATAGGTGTCCATGGAATTATAGCAGTTATCATCACTTCAGTTAAAATATTCTTCTAATCTTGCAATAATCTATTTGAATACATAGCCAGAATGGTGTCCTTATCAACAGAAAAGAGAAACCCTTCCCCTCTTTTAGGTGAGTATACTCACCAGCACAACTTTCCTTTTGCATGGGATGCAGTCACCTGGAACACCAACAATCTTTTAAACTCTAGAGGCCAGAAAGCCTGGTCAGAACTCAGTGAAGGTTGAGGTGAGCAAGGTCTCTACCTAGTGAAACATTTAGTCCTGTCTGAAATATCCACAGAGACATTTGGTCGACACCAAAAGGTCCTTAAAATTTGGTCCTGTCCAAAACATCAATGAGCATATTTAGTCCATGCCAAATGGTCCTTGATATTTGGTCCTGTCAAAAACTTAGGAAATGTCCAAGCTTAGGAAATGTTCCTGTGTTCAAACAGGCCATGATTCTTACTTATACTTTTGGTTTACAGGATTAATACATAAAAATACTAACATGTTTTATTAGTCCAATAACTATGTTGTGGCTGCATTGCTAAAAATAACTTTCCGAGCCTTGGTAGCCTAGCTAGTAATGGTACATGGTGTTAAGTAGATGGGTCATCTCCATGAACGTTTTTGGACAGGGCCTTTTGACGTGAACCAAATGTTTCTGTGGATGTTTTGGACAGAACCAAATGTCTACTAATCAGTGAGGACAAATAAAAGAAAAACTACATACACCATATTATCCAATATAACACATTACAAGCTCCACACTTAGTTAATAAAATTTGTTTCACTAGAATCATATAGTTAGCAGTGAGACGATTCCAAAAGAAGTAGCTAGTAAGAATTATCAAGCTATATCTATCTAGAGTTACAAATTAGTAAAACAGTTTTTTTGTTCCCCAAATTTAATACCACTGCTTCTTCTGGGTGTATCTTAGAGTGTTGAATAAATGCCCTTACTGAGTAAAATTGTTCTAGCACTGTATAAAATATGAACTGTTTTTGCTTAAGGTAAAAGAATTAGACATTGAAAATGGCAGTACAAAATGGCAAACTGTCAGAAGACAAAAGCGGGAGTGGATCAAGTTTGCAGCAGCCTGTCGAGAAGGAGAGGACAACTCCAAGAGGAATCCAATCGCCAGAGTAAGTGATGAAATAACTGGAGTATCCTGCTCTGATAACCAAAGGCTTTTGAAGGGCAGTAAGGTCCTCAGACATTTTGAGGGTTCTCGGTCTTCACTACTCCACAGTCACTTAGGAAGATGGGTGGTGTGTAGTCATTTGTTTGTGTTGCTGAGGCACCACTTTGACCATCACTTTCTGGGAGTTGCTACACAACGGAGGGTCCCTGAGTGATCCTGGAAGAGAAACTTGGATCTCCAGCACTACTGGGCTCTTTGTCTTTCCATCTGTTTTCTGCTTATCTTCTGCTTACCTGCATGTTTTAGGAAATTTACGCATATGCTAATATTCTTCTGACTAGCCCTAAAGTTCTCACTAGATCCCTAGATCCAGAAATTAGGAGAGCCTTAAAAGGTATTTCAAATAATGGCTCTCAATAAGAAAGGAGCATTAAGAGGAGAATGTGTCATAAATTGATCCATGAAGGATATGATCCACATTAACAGCTTCACTAGCTCTTTCTAGGTCTCTTGGCCTTGGGCCACAATTGAAATCAAGAGTAGTGATTTTCCAGAATTCCTTCCTTAAAGCTTTACATTAAAAATATAGTAAGCATCAGTGGTGAAATTACAGATATAATCTCAGCTCAAGGAAAGAGATTTACTCTTTCTCAGATGTTTTCAAATTTTTGGAAAGCTTCAAAATTGTTACCGTTTCCTTTCAACGCACAGTTACAGCTTTATATTACCCCCACTGGTATTGTATATTCTTTTCTTTATATTTGCATTTGAGATATTTCTTGCATTTTCATCTATATAAATAAAGTCTTTGGACCAGAGTGGAGCTTATCCAAGTTGTATTTCTATCCGTCTTAATTTAATTATGGACATTTGGGTAACAAATCTTAGTATTCTCCTGAGTGTTCTCACCTTTAGGATATAGGTTAGATTTCAAAATTTAAACTACCTTTGTTTAAATTTATGAGCCATAGGTATAAAGCTATGAAAACATAATCTAGATAGCAGAATATCTGCCATAAAATCTGTTTGGCAGATGAGTGATATGGTAGGTTTTGATTTATAAAATTATTGCCAATATCTCTAAACACTCTATTTCTCTTCTGATTTTCTTAATTTAAATGATCTACTATTTTAATTAAATTTCAAATTCAAGTCTAAGCAGCATACATATTAATATGATACAATCCTCTTACAAAATAGTAAAGATTCTGATTTCTTCTGTCAAACTCTTTCTCTATGTGCAAAAACAAATCAGAGACATTTACAATGTTAATAATAAAATATCTACCATCAAGCATGGATGTGCCCTATGTCAGTCATTGGGGTGGGGTATATATATGTTACCTCATACAATCCCCACCACAAACCTGGGATATAAGTGTTATTGTCCCATTATAAGCTAGTGCTTGGCAAAGTTAAGTGAATTTTCCAAGGTCACACAAGCCTATGTCGCGGTGCCGGGTTCCAATACAAGACCCGTCCGGCTATAAGTCCATTCCCTTCTCATTCCACTACACTGTGGAGTTCCTTATCTGCTCTAAATCCTAGCCATTTTCCTCATAGATTCGATCAGACTGCGAAGTGAACCAGAAGATTACATACCGCATCTCTGGGGCAGGGATTGATCGACCGCCTTATGGCGTGTTCGCCATTAATCCTCAGACTGGGGAGATTAACATCACCTCGGTGGTGGACAGAGAGATAACTCCACTTTTCCTGGTAAGTCAGAGCAGTGTGTTTTGATTTATGCACATTATTTTTCTTCCCTTTTAAAAGAATATCATCTCAGGACTAAGGCCTACTTCTGATAAAGCACAATAGAATGAAACCAAATAAAGGGCTTGAGGAGATGGAAAGAGTATGAAAAAAGTTTATCGTTCAGAATTCCCTGGTGGGTTGCATATGCATGTGATCAAATGTCTTGATAACATTTAAGTTACTAGGCTGTAAAAACAAGTCTGAATTTACTGGGAAAATTGTTTCTTTGCACATTTCCTTATATATTTTCAAGCATATCACTTAATTTCCTTTGGTGGAGAAAGACAGTTTTTTTCAACTTTCCACAGATCTATTGCCGGGCTCTGAATTCACGAGGTGAAGATTTAGAAAGACCTCTTGAGCTTAGAGTCAAAGTTATGGACATAAATGATAACCCTCCAGTCTTTACACAAAATGTGTACACAGGAAGCATCGAAGAAAACAGCGACGCGAGTGAGTAGAATGATTCTCCTTCTCTGCATTATTCCATGTCTGTTTCTCTTGGTCATACGCTTTAGGAGATTGAAATACAAGTAATTTAAAGATCAGAAAATGTCAAACTTGTATTTTGAAGAAACCCCACAAGTTCTAACTTAAAATTGAGCTAGAAGAAGAAATCGTGCCTAAAATGTTAAATATCCTCTTGTTTGTACAGGATTTTTATATATATGACTTAGCGCCTTCCTCAGAGATTGTTACTGGGCTCATGATTAACTTAATCCAAATGAACAAAATGAGGTGAAACCATGAATGTGAAGAAGGGTCCTGTTCTGTTCTGTTCCTCACATTCTGGGCTGAACCACATCAGATGCAGAATAATAAAGGATATTCTGCAGTTGTGCTTCTGGGGCCCAGGGTAGGCTGCCCAGAGATATCCCACAATAGCATACTGATTATTTTGAATAAAAGTTACTTAAGAAACTACCAATGCAAGAACAACATGCTGATCTCCTTCTCTCTCTCCTGCTTGAGAGAGCCTGTATAAACAAACCTCGTTGTCTGTTTATTAAATTGCTGCCCAAGCCCAAATTTCAGATTTCTCACTAGTAAATACCCAAACCTTGCTTAGATTTCTTTCTAATGAGCACTAACTTTTTTTTTGTCCTATCAATTCTTCAAAAATTCATTTTTATTCTGTCTAAAAAGTATAAAGCGCTGGCTAGTCCATCATTTCTCAGAGCATCATTTATGACTCTCCCATGCACATATTAAATTGGATTTTTCCTCCTGTTAATCTGGTCTTGAGTCAATTTTATTATTAGTCCAACCCATAATAATTTAAGGGGGACTCCCCCCTCCTTGACAGTAGCCATCAGATCATTCGCAGAGGATAATCAGGAGCCTTCATAGCCTACAAGGCAAATTATAAAATACGTTTTCCCATTGTTTTCATTTTCCCGTCCTGCTTAATTCCACCTCCAACTCTAATACTCTCCTCTTTTACCCTCTTTCTATCACTTCTCCTGAACTTCCTTTCTGCACTTAGGCTTTTCCTACATTATTACTTTCCTCTCTCCTCTCCCTCTTTGCCTTCCAACTCTTCCCTCAGACTTCTAATATTCCTTTTCCTTTCACACCTATATCTGCGCTTATGACTCTAAATAAAATTTGGGAAAAGAGAGAGAAAAAAGAAATTTCAGGAAAAAAGCAGATAAAAAGGAAGCCAGAGGTAACAATGGGGAGTCAAAGGAGAAAAGATGGAGAAGTCTGCAGGAGAAAAGAGATAAGAAATGATAAAGAAAAAGAAAGAGACGACAAAACATGGGGGTCAAGGACAGGTGTATGGAGAACTTCTTCAGATGCCCTAAAAAAGTGGTGTTGAAAATAGGAGGGGAGCACTTAGGAAGGCAAAGCAAGGATTTTGCCTCAGAGAGGCAAAACAGAGAGAGGGTCTCCAAATCCATCGTAGTGTCCTCACTAACATACTTGGGGACAAGCTTGGCAAAGGGAGAGGAGGTGAAACACACACCCACCTCCACCGGATTGCTGACTAGCGGCCTTGATAATGCTTCCCCGTGGGGAGAGTTAACCACAGGGCTGAGCATGCTTTCATAAACTATGAGCTGCATGAAACCCAGCTCTATCTGTTCTCTGTGCAAGGATTTTGCATTCTGAAGCCTGGCTAGGAAGCACAAAAACATCAGGGAACTGCCAACGCTGGAAAATCTGTCCTGCAGGCTTATGTCCTTGGGGACTGGCTTAGAATGTCGATGTTTTGTCGCAATGAACAATTAAGACCTTCTTATATTCCTGTGGACAAATCTTCTTTCCAATAATTACATATTTTTAACTGTTCAGTAAAGTACAATTATCTTGCAAGGCAATGAATAGTAATTCTCTGCCTTCTGGATGAGCAATGAAAAAGAATGTAAGTGCTCATAAATAATCACAATGTCAAATTTAATTAAGCTATCATCTAATTCTTTAAGTTGTAGGGTCAGATAGTTTACTAAAAATTTTTCTTGCTTTTTGAGGTAGGCCTGTAGTGCTATGAACTTCCCTCTTAGGACTGCTTTCACTGTGTCCTATAGAGTTTGGGTTGTTGTGTGTTCATTTTCATTTGTTTCCAGAAGTTTTTTATTTCTTTCTTGATCTTATTGGTAACCCATTCATTGTTTAATAACATACTACTTAGCCTCCATGTGTTTGAATGTTTTGAATGTTTTTACTGTAGTTGATTTCTAATTTCATGCCATTATGATCTGAGATGCTTGATATGATTTCACTCTTCTTGAACTTGTAGAGACTTGTTTTGGGTCCTAACATGTGGTCTATCTTTGAGCATGACCCATGTGCACTTGAGAAGAATGTATATTTTGCAGCTTTGGGGTGAAATGTTCTGTAAATATTAATTAAACCCATCTGATCTAGGATGCCATTTAGAGTCACTGTTTCTGTGAAAGCTCCCCTGTGAAGCCATCCACACCAGGGCTTTTGTTTGCTGGGAGTTTTTTTTATTACTGCTTCAATTTCATCAGTTGTTATTAGCCTATTCAATTTTCTGATTCTTCCTGATTCAGTTTTACATGATCTTACCCATAGGTGGAATCTAATAAACAAAATAGACTGAGGAACAAAATAGGTCCAGAGACATAGAAGCATGGAACAGACTGATGAATCTCAGTAGGAAGGAGGGGTTGGAGGGGGCGATGGGGAGAGATTAATCAAAGAACTTATATGCATATATACATAACCCATGGACACACATGGGGGTGAGCGGTGAAGGCCTGGGGGGGCAGATGCTGGGTGGAGGGGATCAATGGGGAAAAAAGGAGGACATCTGTAATACTTTCAACAATAAAGATANAGGAAGGAGGGGTTGGAGGGGCAATGGGGAGAGATTAATCAAAGAACTTATATGCATATATACATAACCCATGGACACACATGGGGGTGAGCGGTGAAGGCCTGGGGGGGCAGATGCTGGGTGGAGGGGATCAATGGGGAAAAAAGGAGGACATCTGTAATACTTTCAACAATAAAGATAAATTTTAAAAATAATTAAGCTATCATCTTTCTTAATTAAGCATTTTAAAATAATTTCACAAGTCCATGGCAAAAACAAATTGATAAAATCTGTTTCTTCAGCTTTATGATAAAGTCTACTGAACTTTTTTGTATACATTAAAGATCACTATGTTTTGCTACTAATTTACCATTTAATCATTTAAGGAGTACAAGTACTTTATAAACTATAAAGGGTTCTACAGAAGCAAGTCACTGTTATTTTTGTAATCAATGGTGTAGCTAAAGTTATGGTAAAACAGTGTGGGGCAAAAGTATGTTTATAGTGGTGAGTATGCAAAACAGTTTATTCTTATATTATTAGTTTTTAATTATTGTATTATTTTCCATTTGAACAACTATAAATCTACTTTTGCCCACCCTGTACATTCTCATGGATAACTAGAAGAGAGAGAATGCAGAAGACCAGCCATTCTTTCTTCTTTTGCCTGATGATTTACCAAATTGATTTTAACGGAGTCCCAAACATTCTCCATCTTCATTTCTAGACACATTGGTAGTAAAGTTAAGTGCCACAGATGCAGATGAAGACAATCATCTGAATTCTAAAATTGCCTACAAGATTATCTCTCAGGAGCCAGCAGGTGCACCAATGTTCATCCTGAACAGGTACACTGGAGAGGTCCGCACGATGTCCAGTTTCCTTGACAGAGAGGTAAAGCCTTCTATGAATGAATGATAAGAAATAAAGAATACAATTTTGAAAATACAGAGATGAAATAATCCACATATGACCTTCTTCCAGTGTAAAGGAGGGAAGGAAAAATAATCCAACCATTATTTAAAATAAAAATTATATTGAAGAAAAACGATATTAAAATATTACATAAAGTTATAAAAGAAAGGTGGAATAATGACACCAGAATGTGTCAGATTTTATTCAAAACAAGACCTAAGTCCTACAATTCTTTTCATCTTAATTAAGGAACACAGTATGTATAATCTCCTTGTGAGGGGCTCAGATCGAGATGGAGCTGCAGATGGACTGTCTTCTGAGTGTGCCTGTAGAATCAAGGTTTTAGATGTCAATGATAATTTCCCCACCTTGGAGAAAACTTATGTAAGTTGTTTCTCTTATAACCCTTTTTACATAAATGCCAACAATTGATTTACTTTCCCAATAGTTGGTGAATGTGGTTCTTTTACATGTATGGATGTACTAACCTTTGTTGTATAAACCATGAAATTTCTTATGTGTAATAATGTATCTTAATATTGCATATCTCCCTTTGAGTCACTATGCCATGCAAATCTCTTCTGTGAAAGCAACAGACCATCTCCTCATGCTCTCCACTCACAGAAGTGTGGAAATTTATTAATATAATTCTGGGAATCATGTAACAACATCGCTGTATCTTTATATGCCTGATGATTTACTGAATTAATTCTAAGTCCCAAACATTCTCAACTTCCACTTTCATCTTTAAGCATAAAGAAGCATAAAATCGAAATCAGCAGAGCCAAATCTGTCTTGCCACTTGTTTTGGTAAAGAAATATATACATATATATTTTATTGGACCACAATCGTTCTTACTGCTTTACATGTTGCCTGTGGCTGCTTTGATGCTACAGCAGCAAAAATGAATAGTTGGAGCCACAAAACCTAATATATTTACTATCTGGCCCTGTATAGAAAAGGAAGAAGTTACGGAAAATTAAAAATAAGCAAGAAAAATGAAACAAAGTGCCATTTTGACTTTGATTTAACATATAGCCTTGAAAATCAATTCTATTTTCTTTCAATCATTTTGTTCTTGGATTTCTGGTCAGATATATGTCATTTAATAATTAGACAAAAATCACTGACACAGTTTGTTATTAGTATTTTAAATGATAATTCAGTATTAGAAACTATCTTTCCTCTTTGAAAATTCACTGATTATAAAATTGATCTATGTCATCCAGTACTCAGCAAGCATTGAAGAGAATTGTTTAAATTCGGAACTGATGCGATTAAAAGCAATTGATCTTGATGAAGAAGGCACTGCTAATTGGTTGGCGAAATATATAATTCTCTCTGGAAATGATGGGAATTGGTTTGATATTCAAACAGACCCACGAACCAATGAAGGCATTTTGAAAGTTGTCAAGGTACAGTATGGGATCTGCAACTTTTTTTAAAAAAAAGTTTTATAATACTCTTAGAGACAGAGACTGCCTACAAAAAGCAACCCATAACTTGAATACTGTTTATGTGAACAAGTGCCCTAAGTCAGCTTACTGTTTCATGCTAAGACCTCCAGCCAAGCAATACAATATTTATTACCAAGAAAAATAAGAAGGCTATTTTGTTCTCACAATGCCCAAAGTCTAGTTGAGAAGTCAAGGCAAAGACCCCTAAATTAGATAATAATATGAGTTAAAAACATAATAAATAGTAGTATAGATGTCATATTAAATGTAATCAATTGCCATATGGATGAAATATGAGATAATTACTCACATAAAAGGTGGGATACTTTTTTTTTTTTAATATGTCTTTATTGATTTCAGAGAGAGGAAGGGAGAGGGACAGAGAGATAGAAATATCAATGAGAGAGTCATTGTTCGGCTGCCTCCTGCACACCCCGACCGGAGATTGAGCCCGCAACTCGGGCATGTGCCCTGACCGGGAATCGAACCCCAATCTCCTGGATCCTAGGCCGATGCTCAACCGCTGAGCCACGCCTGGCCAGGCAGAGGTGGGATACTTTTGAGCTAGATTTGTTGGAAAAGATTCCGTGCAGGGAATAAAGTTTAAGCAGGACCTTATAACTGAGATTGCTAAAGTGGGATATGAAATGAGCGCCACATACACAGGTGAGGAAATGTCAAGCGTGTTCAGAGCGTGGCGAGCAGTGCTGCTGGAGCTGCAGCGGAGCATTCGCCCAGAGAAGCAGTGAGATTCAAGAATGGAGATGCTGAGTTGGAGTTGGGCAGCTGAGAAACTTGAATACCAAACTGCAGGGCTTGGCTTTTTCCTATAGATTACTTTTTCTCAAACTGCTTTCCATTTTTACTGAATGGACTGCAATGTAATCTAAAAATACAAATTAGAAACAAAACTACAAACTAATAAGATTCAAATGAACATGGATGTAATAAAGAAAATTAATTTTTCTCAAACAAAAGTACTACTAACAATATAAACAGCACTTACAGCTATGAAAATACATACTGATCCACACACACCCATTTAGTTTGGCCCACAGTGTGAACTGCGATTATTCAAGTCTGTCACTGCTTTTCTCTACTCCAGTCACTGTGAAACTTTTTTCAGATAGTCTATTAGGAAGCCATTTAAACTTCTAATGCAAACATATCATTTACATATTGAATCTTTCTCTGTTCTTTTTGAAATTATCTGGAGCAATTAAAGAATTACTACTTTACCACGAGACACAACCACTAGCATGGAAATCATGAGGTGTACTCATTTACAAGGTGATCATCAAAATTATGGGGGAAAATCTATACTTTTTACACTTGTCATTGAAATGAACACACAAAAAGAATTAATAATTCAGGCAATGATCATCTATGACTTATATAGTGTGTCTTCTGTGAAAACCAAAGTGTTTTAAAGATATACTTATTTTATTGCCAAAAAACACACAAAACTATTGGAAATTCAATTTTATGAAAACTTGGTCAAGGTAATATTAGATGTCATGTAGACAAAATATTTTTTTCCTGGATGATAATTTCTCAAGTCTCTTAAAGAGAGCAGAAAAATATGCTTAAAAACATCGAAATAATATGGAAAGGCTAATTAAAATGAAATGAAAAACCTTTGTGTGTGTTAGCACATAGCCAGAAGAACTATGTGTTTAGAGAATATATGNAATATGGAAAGGCTAATTAAAATGAAATGAAAAACCTTTATGTGTGTGTTAGCACATAGCCAGAAGAACTATGTGTTTAGAGAATATATGCGAAATTTGCTTAGGATTTGGCATTTGGAATGGTGTACTAATGTCCCTTTATGCCCTCTTCATTTTCACTTAAGCCACCCTCAGTCACAAGCTTTTGACTAAGCTTTCCATAACCTTTTTCTTAGTGGGAGGGCATTATAAGTGATTTAGTTTAACTCCAATTTATTGAGAACTACTATGTGCTAGGGATATGAAAGTGAATGAGAATGATCTCTGTTCTCAAGGAACTTGCAGTTTAAAAACAGAAAGTCTTTAAGAAAATAAAAAATCCCATCAATAACAACTCCCTTTTGCTATTTATTGATAAATGTGTATTGAAATACTAACAAACAATACAAATATATGTGTATATATTTATACACATTCACTTTGACTTTAAGAGGAATTGCTACTCAGAATTTTAACAAAAAATATTAATATTGGTTATCTACTTTTATAATGATTCTAATTAGTAATCACTAAACACCAAATATTGGGTTCTACTGTGTGTGTATAGAAGTGATGTGCATATTATCTCATTTAATCATCGTAACTCTGGGAAGAAAATATTGGAATTCCTTTTTTATAAAGAGTGAAATAAAATAAAAGGAAAACTAACTTGGCAAATGATAAACATAAGATCCAACCAGATCTCTGGTTCCAAACTCATACTTAACTGGCCTTTCCCCACCTCACCATGTCATCTGGAGCCACCAAAACAAGTTTTAAGGGAGAAAAATCAATGACTTGAGATTTTCCCCCTACAGGTCTTTTCATCTCTGAAATCTCCTTCCCAACTGTGTGTGCCCTTGTGGGTCTCTTCCAGGTACATTTGTACCGGAAAAGTTTTAATTCTTTAAAAGCAGAACAAACACACCTGGCAGATATGCTCCCTACCACAGAAAACTGCTTCTTTTGGACGTAGACTTCCAATCTCCTTCCTCATTCAAACTAAATTCTAAATTCTAAAATAAACCAGGGTTCCCTGAGAATTAGCAGTATCATATTAAATTAGACCAAACACACACACACACACAATTGGATGTGAGAATCTTATAGCTTAGCTTCTATATTAAAAAGTACAGAAGCAAAAACAAAACAAAACAAAACAAAACAACCACCACAACCTCTCCAGAAGCCAAACCTAGTTCTGGAGGGGTTCCCTTCATTCTGATCCCGTCCTGAGCCCACTTTAGATCCCTGAAGGCTGAGCCCCCACACTTTTCTAACACATCCCTGCATACCTTTTGTAAGTGATTATTCTTCAGTCATGCCTTAAACTGCAGAAACTGAGTTTTTCCAACCTCTCTATTCTAACTCCAAGCAGAGATTCAGTGGTAAGCAGTTGTGTGTATTGCTCTCTGCACAACCTCGACCTCTGGGCACAATGAGAAAACCACTGATAAAAGGCCCCAGTTGCAAAGAATGAATGAGGACTTTCTGCCTTTCCTCTGTCTGCCTTTTATCTTCCCTGTTAGAGGGAGAGAACGATCCTGACAAACAAAAAGCACATAATGTGTGTGTGCAAGAAAGCTATAAAAGATTTCTCTATCAAAATAGAGGATCTCAGATTTTTCATTTATTTAAAGACAGCACAGGATTCTAGAAAATAAAAATTAGGTTTTAAAAGAGGGATCTCTTCCAGTTGAAAGTCCATTTTTCAGTACACAATTCACATTCAGCTCTGTGCTAGGCATAATGTGGCCCAGGGACGGGAACAGATGTGAAAAAGCAATTGAAATCCCAAAGCTCAAGGGTTCTAGCTAGAATTTAAGCAAGGCGTGTTGAGTCCGCCCTTGTGAAGAATTTAACGTAAACCTAAGAAAACATTCATGATGTCCTACAACTTCCCTGAAAAGCAGAAATTTATCTCAGGGTCTTGCTGATGGCCTGGTAGCCTGACCCCTGTTGTTGGTGTACGTGTTGCAAATGACGCTTAGGTTAGCTTCCAGAAACTTCTAAACAGATATTGCCGGTACTCCCTTTCTTACAAATGCTTTTTCACTTCTGACTTTTCATGGCACCACATCAATCATCTGGATCAAAAGATTCTATTTACCTTTTATGCAAGGAACCGTTTTCAAAAGTGACTTTTCTCTGGATATGGTACTGACTTATTTGAACGTGCCCTGTGAAGGAGTCTTCCTGTCCGTCCTACCCAGCACAATTAAATCACAGTTAGTGCTGACTTCAATAGTCATAAATTCTCCTTTAGAAATCATTTTTTTAATTTACATATTCAATTACATCACATATACTGCCTCCTTTTTTCCACTGATTATACTTTCAGAAATTCTTGGATGTAAATTCTACAAAGGAAACTGGGCCTATTTATTCATTTAATAGTTGTGGGCATTTTTTATTTCATTCTAAGTGTTTTTTTTTAATTTTTCATAAACACCTCATTTGGAAAGAAAGATCATTTTTCATTCCTGGGTTTTTACATAAGAAGTTCAAAACTCCAAATTTGAGTCCAATTTAAATTCACAAGCTTAAATGACCTACACACCTCATTATGCTAAAAGATAAAGGAAATAACGTCTGAAATATCTCACGCCATAATACATAAAATTTTACCAGTTAAAAAATCAGAATTGCATAACTCCTGGACTTTAGTCTGGTGTGTTGTGTTCTTATGGCTTCTTATTCTGTCAAATGAGAGTTCTTTTGCTGTTTCAGAGTTTTTTACTTTATATCATTTCAGATGCTGGATTATGAACAAGTGCCTAGTATCCATCTCAGTGTTGGAGTTAAAAACCAAGCTGAATTTCACCACTCAGTTGCCTCTCGATTCCGAATGCATTCAACCCCTGTGAGGATCCAGGTTATTAATGTGCGAGAAGGACCCACATTTGATCCAAACTCTATGACTTTCAGTGTGCGGGAAGGAGTAAGAGGAGATTCCTTAATGAATTATGTTCTGGGCACATATACGGCTGTAGATTTGGACACAGGAAGTCCTGCAACAAATGTCAGGTATATGCAAATCCTTTGTTCATGTTAGAGTGATAGAGCACGCATGGTTCTGTCCCGTGCTAATTCATGAAGCATATACTAGTGTATGTGGGTTGAAATATTTTTAGAGTTTTGCTTTTCCTGTTCATCTGTTATCATTATAGAAGACTATTGTGGCATTGACATTTTCTTAGAATGTTAATAGTGTTTTACACACTGTAAGGGCTCCAAGTGGGTGTAAGAGTAATTGTGCTCAACGAGCAATTGTAAGGTCAAAGAGTTACCTTCAGTTACTCTCTGAGTCTCTTTGATCTTCTGTGACCAGTTGTACCACCCTGGACCTGGGGTGACTAAGCCATATTGTAAGCAGTTAGACATCATAAAAGATGAGTCACAGCTTGTTTTTTTTAAACCTATGTTACCTATAACTTTGGGGCTCATTTCAATCTTCTACTTAACCTTAAAAAAAAAGAAAGAATAGAACAAGCTAAAGATAATGTAGAGAATCAGAACTAGAAAAATAGAAAGGTAGGACTTAAGGGCTCTAGGTATATAGATTATACATTAATTAGACCTTTATAAGAGATTCTGTGAAATATATAAGTATTCTTTATATCCTTTCCTCGTCTCTTTTCTTATGCCCAATATTTTTGGAGTGAACAGTCTATTGATTTATAAATCACTTTGATAGGAACAATTTTGATTACTTAATCAGTTAACAAATTAACAGACAACAAAAATTATGAAGCCTGTCAGTATGGGATAGAGGAAAAGGATATGTCAGATAAGCCCCACAGGAAACTTAAAATTGTGCCTGGTACACACACAAAATCTTCGTCCAAGCATTTTGAATCCATTATATGTCACAAAACCCATACACACAAATGGAATAAGTGATACCACAACCTCTAAATTACCAACAATGAGGTGCTCTGAAACCAATATACCTTAAAACTGAGGAACAACTGAGTACATCCATGTGAAATGGATAAAGAATATTGCCTTGATATTGCTGTGATTTAATAAACAGGCTTGAAATATATGTTATTAACAATTACATAAAGAGCTAGAAGAGTAAAAATTATAAAATTTTAAAACTCTGTTATGAACCTGTGCATTAATATGTTCAATACTAGAATTTTGTTGAGATATATACATTTTATAATCCAAAGCAATTATTACTCTGAAGCATGCAAACACCATATACAAGTTTAACACATTGTATGTGACTAAATTATTAATTTTCATATGAGCAAGTGATAAACTCATTTATTTAAAAACAGGTATATCATAGGACATGATCCCAGCAGCTGGTTAAAAGTTGACTCAAGGACTGGTGAGATACAGTTTTCTAGGGAATTTGATAAGAAGTCAAAATATATTACCAATGGGATATATACAGCAGAGATCCTGGCTGTAGATGGTAAGAAAATTTATTTTCAATATTTTAATAAAATTATTATTTCACTAAATATAAGTATTACTCTAATGTTGATAGTAAATTGACTCAAAATATATCATTCAGTGGTGTCTACAAGACTTATAGAGAGTTCTAAATACCTTAGACCAAGAACTGAATTCAGTATACTTACAACCATAATTTACATTTGTCATAATTTATTTCACCTACTTCTAAAAAAGAATTATATGTTGCTTACAGTGTAAAACATAAAAGTTAAAATGTATAAATTTAACTCATTTTCTGTTTATGGCCTTATCTCTTGAGATGGTTAATCCAATGTGCAAAGTATGTTAGGAATGTTTACTTAAAGTGCTGCAAGGTGTGCACAAAGTTCATTTGGGGATGACCTATGGGAAAGGCAGTGTCCCAAAGAGCAGAGTTATTTTAGTCACTAAAACTGAGCTACATTGAGAAGCCTGTGTCAGTGTTACTTGATTAGTTTAGACATGTTGCCCAAAGTAAGATGTTAAGAATCAAGAACCACAAGGTTATTCCAAATATAAGATCCAAATTAAAAGTCATAAGCACAGATTCACTGAATTAACTTATAACTGAGCTGCTTTCCATTTGGGAAAATCTATTAGGCTTTCCTCTTGGTGAGTAGCAACAGAAATGTGTTTATCAATAGTTAATGATTCTCACTGCCTAGGAAACCAGCGACTACAGAACAAAACAACAGAAAAGGTCAGTAACCAGGAGAGAAGGAGGAGAATAGATGTCCCAGATATATACCTAATAGAAGATAGATACTATAGGTTTGCATTAAGTTTATATCTGAGCTTTACAGTAGCAAGCAAAGAGAAAGATAAATGGGCAGCACAAGATTATAAAAGAAACCATGGTAATACCCAAGCAGTTATGATTCATACATTCTAACCCTCATCCTGTGTCACTTTTAACATCTGGGTCAGTTATATAAATAATACAGTCTTATTTATTATCAGGATTCTCGAAGGCCTGTTCTAAAATGGACTCAGCATGTTGATCAGAGCCTATGTTTGCACATTGATCATATGTGAAAATCTTCAAAAACTAGGATGAAAAGTAGTCATTTCAAGTGAGTAAAGAGAGAGAAAAACTATCAAAATGTATCGGCAAAAAACTAAGCACAAGGGCTATAGTTTATTCACCTAAGCAGAGTGTGTGCACTGGCACAGAGCCATCCAAGTGGTTCAGATAAGGTTGGTCAAAGATGATGGACCACCAGCTCTTCATATAGCAAACGACACTGGGAGCAAATGCTGTCAGCAATAACTTGAGCTGTAGTGGCCATATCAGGAGGCCCTGAGAAAGCTCTGCAGGATCAGAGAATGACACAGAAAACAATGTATGGGATAATCTGTCTCTCTCATGAGAGCCTAAGTCTAGAAAGCCCAAAGCTGAATTGGGTATTAAAAACATACTGTACAAAACCATGGAGGGTATGGGTAGGCTTCCAGTTTATTATCCTTTGATTAACTAAATGGCTCTACCATTCAGGCATGCAAAAAATCATCTTTAAAAGAAGCTCATTGACTAATCCAAAAATGACCTAACAAAATACCCAAAAGATGATAATGTTCTAGTTTACAAATGACAAAACTAAGACCCTTCCCAAGTTAAAAACAAAATAATTCTTTATTCATTGTAACAGAACATAAAATAGAAAAGTGGACTAAAACCCAGCCTGCTATTTCTTGGTCTTTTGCCCTTTCTAATAAACTATACTAACCCAAAATTTGTTCCAAAGAGGTTAGGGGGAAAAATCAAATATTTTTATGTTTTTTTTTCTGAAGTACCTTCTCAGAGAGAAATAGCATCTAATGGATGGAATTAAACAGTCAAAATAGAGAGAAAAATATATATACAAGCAATTATTTAATTTCAATTGTGGTTATTTCAATAACACAGGAATCAATAAGCATCCTGAGATGGAAGGCCCTGAGCTGGAGTCTCATTTATGGGAACAGGGTAGGAATAGAAAGCAGTAAACTTCTCTTCTTTCTATTTAATTAAAGGACATTTAATTTTGCATCTTAGGATGTGTAGGTGTTAGCAGAATAAAATGGAGGCAAAAAAAATTTTAGGAGGAGTGACTAAGATGAGAAAGAATCTTGAGTTAGGAAGAAACTTGTTCAAAGAACAAGAAGCCAGTGTGGTTGGAAGGTTGGGAGCAAAGGCAAGGGTGGCTTCAGATTGGTGAAATAGACAGGAACCTATCATGCTCCATCTCAGGAGTCATTCAGGCTGCTCCTATGTGCTGTGGCATCATCATGAGATATCAGAAATTTCTCCCTGACACCACTTACCCCAACATCCATGATGCTTTGCCATTTCAGATGGCTCTGGGAAAACGGCTACGGGAACCATATGCGTTGAAGTTCCTGACATCAACGATTACTGCCCAGTCATTTTTGCTGAAAGTAATGTCATCTGCATTGCCTCTCCATCAATCCATATATCTGCGAGAGAAGTTAACCATCATTCTTATGGGTCTCCCTTTACCTTTTGTGTTGTTGATCAGCCACCAGGGACAGCTGATTTATGGGATATCAAATCAATAAATGGTAAGTGGAATGCAAACTTGCTCATACTTTAAAGACTGAAAGCAAAAACAATTACCGAAGAGTAACCCCATGTAATATTTTCTATCTCTGTTTCCATGATTCTTGCCATTTTCATATTAAATTTTTTAAAATCTTTCATATACACACAGGCTATTTGGAAAAATTTGAACTGAAATAAAAGTTGAAATGCTTTTCAATACTGCATTTACAAATAGTAGCTTATAAATATCAGTTTATCCATCATTTTATATAAGTGGGGTGCTACATGAATGTTTGATCAGTTTGGAATAAATAGAACCCTTGAAAAACTCACCAGATGTCACAATTCCCTAGCCTATATTATTTCAGGCAAGTCACTTAAATGTCTCTGAAACTCAGGTATGCTATAGATTTACATGTACACATTTTGTCTCACTTAGAAACATGTAAGATCAATGAAATTGTTTTTATAAAGAGATATGAGCTCAGACTTTTTTGTAAGGTTAAAAATTTATACCCAAATTTTGCAATATTAGAATGGTTAGGCAAACTGTGGTACATATTATTAAGACGAAGTACTATCCAGCATACATTAAAATTATAATTATGGGAAGCATTTAGATGCAAAAGAATGTGCCAACAAACGTATGTCAAGTATAAAGATCCCAGAGTGTATGTGTGTTTGTACTGTTGCTATATAAAAATGAAGGCACTGATAAAAACCAAGAGTAAATTTCAGGCGACATAACATTAAACATACTTTAGGTTCTTTTTCCTGAAATGTTAAATGTATATTAGAAAGTGAAAAGCTGTAAGAGGACCTCATTTGGGCTAAGATAGTTCCCTAATCTCACATTCATTTAAGCAATAGTTTCTATTAAAGAAATCAATAGGCAATAATAACACAAAGAATTAGGAAAATAATAGTTATTAGAATAATTTTAAATGAAAGGGCAATGATTTAGAATAAGAGATAAAGAACAATATTAGGGAAGATATTTATAAATTATAATCCTAAATAGAAGACTCCAATATTTCCTTTCAGCTCAGTGCTCTTCATTTATTGGACAAACATTCACTGAGTTCATATTATAGGCCAAGGATTATTGCTCTGGAAATAAGCAGCAGGGTCTCAGTCTTCTTTGTAGAAATAACAATCCAGCAGGAAAAAGTCTTTAAAAATTTATTATAAATGTGTTTTGTTTTGTTTTTCAGTAAGTACAGCTAGCTCTATGACTAAGGGATCAGGCCCTAAGTTAGTCTGGAGTGTTAGGAAGGGTCACCCCCTCAAGGAATTTTACTTTCTCTTTCCTCTCTTCCCTTTCAGCTACCTCTGCAATCCTGACGGCTGAGCAGCCTTTATCAGCTGGAGTTTACCAAGTCCCAATCCTGGTGAGAGACAGCTACAACAGGGCGTGTGAACTGCCACAGATGGTTATGTTAGACGCCTGCGATTGTGACAACAGCCAGACGTGCTTGCACTCTAGCACTCCGGGCGTCTACACTGGGGATGGCAGCTCAGTTACCAGTGACATATATGGGCCTGTCCCTGGGGACCGCATTGAGGGTTCAAATGTTCGCCTGGGACCAGCAGGGATTGGCATGATCGTTCTGGGCCTCTTACTACTGCTTTGTAAGTACTGGGTTAAATCCCTCTTCTCGACAGTTCTCCAAGATAAGAATATAACCAGGCTTACTGGGAGGCTAGATTCATTTCGCCATTTCTTTTTGGTATCTATGGCAACTTTTGTGGAAATCTGGGAATAAACAATGGGATTGGTAAGGGCATGTGCTTGTTCAATAATGATAACTAAAAAGGTCTAGAATGAGTGAGGGTCGTAAAGATGGGGACCACATGCAAATCCTAAGTATAATATAGCAGAGCATAAAGTAAATCTTACAGTGACAATTTCAGCAGAGTGCTTTAAGGGTAGAAGGTCGAGAAGTCTTTCTGGTAGAAGGGGCTTTGAGGATTTTCATAGGAGGATGGTGAATCTGAAACGCAATCTAGGACAGAGGAACAGCACAAANAAGAAGTCTTTCTGGTGGAAGGGGCTTTGAGGATTTTCATAGAAGGAGGATGGTGAATCTGAAACGCAATCTAGGACAGAGGAACAGCACAAACGTGAACAGAGAGAGGGATGAGAGGGCACAGAACACTCAGGGAGCCGAGAAGCTAAAAGGTAGGCTGGGAGCCATAACACAGGAACCTTCATGATAGACCGAGTATCCTGGGCTTCAGTCCACAGGAAATGAGGGGTCAGTGAGGACGTGTAGACTCAGGTGACCCGCTCACTCTGCTGGAGTTGGAAGCAGGGAGAAGAGACTAGAGAGGAGGATTAGCCTCTGGGCTCTGGATGAGTGTCTAAACTAGGACCAAAGTCACAGAAATGGCAAAGTCACTAAACAAAAGTTTTAAAAAGGGTCCTCTTCTCCCTATACCATTTTTAAAAACATATAGATCCTTAAAGGAGAAATTCTTCATGTGTTTTAAGTGGCCCTTGCAACACTTAGATTTTGTGATCAAAAATTGGATTCTAAAGTTAAAGATGACTAAACTCTTCAAACTATAATATTAATATGTTTTAATGGATGAATACAAGCTAAAGCATTATTGGTTTTGAGGTACTAAAAAATAATAACTAACTTTGGGGCAGGCTTTCTTTATTAAAACAATCTGAGTTTCAAGGCTATCCAAAGATCATGAGTGACTCTCATAATGACATTAGAGACATTTTCCCAGGACGTGATTCTAAGTAACTGAGCCAAGGTGCCCGCTTACCTTTAAGCCAGTAGTTATTAACCTTAGCTGCACATTAGAATTACTTGGAGGTCTTTAAAAATCACTCCTGCCCAAACAGGACTATTCAAGATGAGACCCAAGTTGCACCATGTTTAAGCTCCCTGGTGAAGCTAATGCACAGTTTAGGGACTGAAACCCAGAATCAGCTGCCATTTCCAGCAGGCTAGCACTCAGATTTCATGACTCTTTCTGAGCCAGGCAAAGAAAGCACAAGAGTCATTCAGTTGATGGTGGCATAGGAGGGGAATACCTTTGAGGATAAATTCACTTCTTCTCAATGGAGAAGTACAGGGTCAATGATGGGGGTGGGGGTGATGATAGGGGAAAGGGTCCTATCCAACACCTTACATTCCCAAAGGGCCTCAAACTAACACTTTTGATGTTAGCTCCAAATGAGATGATGAATACAGTAGCTATATTTGGTATGTGTTACAAACATTCATTTTCTTAATTAAAAAACGCCTCTGTTAGACAGAGCTCACGCCCATGATGGTGCATGACCCTGCACACATCTAAATTCACAGAAACATAGTGCGGTGGAGCCCCTGCTAGAGGCTACCAAATCTAGTTCTTTCCAGAAGGCTTTCTGGAAATGTATAAAGTTGATCCATCTCTCTTCAGGAGCAGATGGTAAAATTGTTTTAATTTCCCAGCTTTGATATTTTCTTCTGTATTTCTAATTAACCCATTTGCCAAAATGCACGTTATGCTAGAAAATTAGAAAAGTATAATAAGCAATCAGAGTGAACCCAAAGAACTAAACTGAGTGTATTCTAGAATATTAGAAAAGTTGTCTGTATTTATGAACTAAAGTATAGAATTGAGGTGAATGGTTCCATTATAGTTTATGGATGTCTTAATAAATATAAATAGCTCCATTAAGCTTAGTGGATAATATTCGATTGATTCATTTTAAGTGTAAATATAATGAGGGTTGAAGAGGGGTCCTATCTCTAAGTTCTACTGTATCCAATTCTCTTGTTAACATGTATTGATCATGTATTTAACTTACATGTGTGTATACTATGTTTGGTCACATGAGTTTGTGTGTATTGGTTTCCATGTGGGTATAGCAAATACATCAATATCAACAGAGAGGGTCTATGTGTATACACATATACATATCCAGGTACCTGCTCATATGCACATGTTCATGGAGGTTTATACATGTTTACTCATGTATGTACACACATATACATAGGCTTACAAATACATAGACATAGATGACTATATGTGAATACACATATATAAATGTGCATGTATTTATGGGGAACTTAGGGATCATAAAATTTTATTTTAATCCTGAGTCTGTCACCAACCAGTTCAGGAATATTAGGCTAGAAGAAAGACAGGACCACACTTTCCTAACCTGTCAGTAAAGAAGCTAGACTATATGATCTCAAACTCCCTTCATTCCAGCTCTAAAAGTCTGTGATTTGGTGGTTTTGTATTTATAAACATGGATATGTGTGCTCGATCCTTTAGGGGGAAAACTGATGCTTTCTCACATTTGGTTCCAAATATGATGCCACATTTTCCCAAAAATGATACACTCAATGACTTCCTAAGTTGAACAATATGTGCCAACTCTTCCTTTTCACTTTCCTGGGCAGTGTCACCACTCTTGCTGCTCATTTGTTGCTGCAAACGAAGACAGCCAGAAGGCCTGGGGACAAGGTTTGCTCCTGTGCCGGAGGGGGGTGAAGGAGTGATTCAGTCTTGGAGAATAGAAGGGGCCCATCCTGAGGACAGGGTGAGTGCACTGACACTTTCCAGAGAAGCACCAGGTTTCAATGGAAATTTAGCATGCCAGTTCTACAGCACACAAAAATCAAAAGATGTCAATTTTAAACGTTTAACATCAAACATTTAAAACATTAGGTCATTTACTTGTTTTTATTTTCATTTTTTTAAGTTTCTTTATCTTTATTATTGAAAATATTACAGATGTCCCCTTTTTACCCCCATTGATTCCCTCCGCCCTTCATCCACCCCACCCCTAAACCTTCCCCAGACCAGTGTCTGTGTCCATGGGTTATGCTTATAAACATGGAAGTTCTTTGATTAATCTCTCCCCACCTACACCCCACTCCACACCTTCCCTCTGAGAGCCCTCAGTCTGTTCCATGCTTCTATGTCTCTGGATCCATTTTGTCCATCAGTTATTTTGTTTATTATATTCCACATATAAGTGAGATCATGTGGCATTTGTCTTTCTCTGACTGGCTTATTTTGCTTAGCGTAATACTTCCTAGTTCCCCCCATGCTGTGCCAAGGGATAAAAGATCCTTCTTTTTTACAGCTGCATAGTACTCCATGGTGTAAATGTGCCACAGGTTTTTTATCCACTCATCTACTGATGGGCACTTGGGCTGTTTCCAGACCTTAGCTATTGTAAATTGCACTGCTGTGAACATAGGGGTGCATAAGTTCTTTGTGATTGGTGTTTCAGGTTTCTTAGGATATATTCCTAGAAGTGGGATCACTGAGTCAAATGGCAGGTTAATTTTTAATCTTTTGAGGAAACCCCATACTGCTTTCCATAGTGGCTGCACCGGTCTGCATTGCCACCAACAGTTACTAGGGCGCCCTTTTCTCCACACTCTCACCAGCACTTGTAGTTCATTGACTTGTTGATGGAGCCATTCTGACAGGTGTGGAGTGATACCTCATTGTGGTTTTAATTTGCATCTCTCTGATAATTAGCGATGTTGAGCAGTTTTTCATATGTGTCTTAGCCATCTCTTTGGAGAAGTGTCTATTTAAGTCCTTTGCTCAATTTTTAATTGGATTTTTTGTCTTCCTTTTGTTAAGTTGTATGCGTTCCTTATATATTTTGGATATTAACCCTTTATCAGATGTGTCATTGGCAAATATGTTCTCCCATACAGTGGGTTCCCTTTTCGTTCTGTTGATGGTTTCTTTTGTTGTGCAGAAGCTTTTTATTTTGATGCAGTCCCATTTATTTATTTTCTCCTTCGTTTCTCTTGTCCTAGGAGATGTATCAGCAAACATATTGCTATGAGAGATGTCTGAGATTTTACTGCCTATGTTTTCCTCTAGGATTTTTATGGTTTCATGTCTTACATTTAAGTCTTTTATCCATTTTAAGTTTACCTTTGTGTATGATGTAAGTTGGTGGTCTACTTTCCTTTTTTTGGATGTACCTGTCTAATTTTCCCAGCACCATTTATTGAAGAGACTGTCTTTATTCCATTGTATGTTCTTGCCTCCTTTGTCAAATATTAATTGACCATAATAGTGTGGGTCAATTTCTGGGTTCTCTGTTTTGTTCCACTGATCTCTATGTCTGTTCTTGTGCCAGTACCAGACTGTTTTGATTACGGTGGCTTTGTAGTATAACTTGATATACAGTATTATGATCCCTCCAACTTTGTTTTTCTTTCTCAAGATTGCCGTGGCTATTCAGGGTGTTTTTGGTACCATATAAATTTTCAAAGTGTTTGTTCTAGATCTGTGAAATATACTGTTGGTATTTTAATAGGGATTGCATTGAATTTATAGATTGCTTTGGGTAATATGGACATTTTAATGATGTTAATTCTTCCAACCCATGAACATGGTATATTTTCCCATTCGTTTATATCTTCCTCCATTACTTTTTTCAGTGTCCTGTAGTTTTCTGAGTACAGGTCTTTTACATTTTTGGTTAAGTTTATTCCTAGGTATCTTATTTTTTTAGTTGCAATGGTAAATGGGATTTTTTCTTTAGTTTCTCTTTCTGAGAGTTCATTATTGGTGTATAAAAATTCCATCAATTTCTGGGTGTTAATTTTGTATCCTGCTACCTTGCTGAACTCATGTATTAAATCTAGTAGTTTTCTGGTGGAGTCTTTAGGATTTTCTTTGTACAATATCATGTCATTCTGCAAATAATGACAGTTTTGTTTTCTCCTTTCCAGTCTGGATGCCTTTTATGTTTTCTTCTTGTCTGATCACTGTGGCTAGATCTTCTAGTGCTGTGTCGAATAAGAGTGGTGAAAGTGGACACCTCTGTCTTCTTCCTGTTCTTAGGGGAAATGGTTTTAGTTTTTGCCCATTAAGTATGGTGTTGGCTGTAGGTTTGTCATATATGGCTTTTATTATGTTCAGGTATGATCCCTCTATTCCCACCTTGCGGAGAGTTTTTATCAAAAACAGATGTTGTCTTTTATCAAATGCTTTTTCTGCATCTATTGATATGATCATGTGATTTTTATCTTTCAGTTTGTTTATGTGATGTATCATGTTTATTGATTTGCGAATATTGTACCAGCCTTGCACCCCTAGAATAAATCCCACTTGGTCATGGTGTATAATCCTTTTAATATATTGCTGGATCCAATTTGCTAACATTTTGTCAAGGATTTTAACATCTATGTTCATTAGGGATACTGGCCTGTTTTGTAATGTCTTTATCTGGTTTTGGAATTACCAGGTATGCTGGCTTCATAAAAAGAGTTTGGAAGTGTTCCTTCCTCTTGGATTTTTTGAAATAGTTTGAGGAGTGTAGGCGTTAATTCTTCTTTGAATGTTTGGTAAAACTCTCCTGTGAAGCCATCCAGACCAGGGCTTTTGTGTGCTGGGAGCCCTTTGATTACTGCTTCAACTTCATCAGTAGTTATTGGCCTATTCAGGCTTTCTGACTCTTCCTGATTGAGTTTTGGAAGGTTTTATTTTTCTAGAAATTTGTCCATTTCATCTGGATTGTCTAGCTTGGTGGCATATAGTTGTTCAAAGTATTTTCTTACAATCCTTTGTATTTCTGTTGGGTCAGTTGTTATTTCATCTCTTTCATTTCTGATTTTATTTATTTGGGTCCTCTCTGTTTGTTTCTTGATGAGTCTGGCTAAAGGTTCATCAATCTTATTTATCTTTTCAAAGAACAAGCTCTTGGTTTCATTGATCTTTTGTATTTTTTTTTTTTTNGTTCTCTTTCTAAGTTTTTAAGTTGTAGGGTTAGAGAGTCTATTAGAAGTTTTTCTTGTTTTTAGGTAGGCTTGTAGTGCTATAAACTTCCCTCTCAGGACTGCTTTCATTGTGTACCATAGACACAATGGGAATTGTTGTGTGTTTATTTTCATTTGTTTCCAGGAAGTTTTTGATTTNTTTGTAGTGCTATAAACTTCTCTCTCAGGACTGCTTTCATTGTGTACCATAGACACAACGGGAATTGTTGTGTGTTTATTTTCATTTGTTTCCAGGAAGTTTTTGATTTCTTTCTTGATCTCTTTGGTAACCCATTCATTGTTTAAAAACTTGCTTTTTAGCCTCCGTATGTTTGAATGTTTTTTAGTGTTTTTACTGTGGTTGATTTCTAATTTCATGCCATTGTGGTCCAAGAAGATGTTTGATGTGATTTAAATCTTCTTCAACTTGTAGAGATTTGTTTTGTGTCCTAGCATGTGGTCTANTTTGATGTGATTTAAATCTTCTTCAACTTGTAGAGATTTGTTTTGTGTCCTAGCATGTGGTCTATCTTTGAGAATGTCCCGTGTGCACTTGAGAAGAATGTGTATTCTGTAGCATTGGGATAGAATGTTCTATATTTAAATTCAATTAAATCCATCTGATCTAATGTGTCATTTAGGGTCACNTAGCTTTGGGATAAATGTTCTGTATTTAAATTCAATTAAATCCATCTGATCTAATGTGTCATTTAGGGTCACTGTTTCCTTGTTGATTTTTTGTCTGGAAGACCTATCCAGTGAAGTCAATAGGGTGTTAAATTCCCCTAGTATAATTGTATTGCTGTCAATCTCTCCCTTAAAGTCCTCTAGAAGTTTGTTTTTTTTTTAATTTAGGTGTTCCTATATTGGATGCATATATGTTTATCAGGGTTATATCCTCNTTCCTCTAGAAGTTTGTTTTTTTTAATTTAGGTGTTCCTATATTGGATGCATATATGTTTATCAGGGTTATATCCTCTTGTTGGATTGATCCCTTTAGTATTATGTAATGACCTTTCTTGTCTCATGTTATGGTCTTCATTTTGAAGTCTATTTTGTCTGATATGAGTATTGGTACCCTAACTTTTTTTTCATTTCCATTTGCATGGAAAAAATTTTTCCACCCCTTCATTCTCATCCTGTATGCACCTTTTGTTCTGAGGTGGGTCTCTTGTAGACAGCTTATATGTGGGTGATATTTTCTTATCCATTCAGCCACCCTATATGTTTTTATTGGGGCACTTAATCCATTTACATTTAAGGTTATTATTGAAAGATACTTATCTACTGCCATTTTATTTCTTTATGCCTATGTTTCTCATTCTCTCTATTTCTACTTCTAATTATAGCAGTCCCTTTAGCATTTCCTGCAATGCTGGTTTTATAGTGATAAACCCCTTTAGTCTTTTTTTGTCTGGGAATCTCTTTATTCCACTATCTATCTTGAATGATAATCTTGCTGGAAGTAGTCTTGGTTTCAGATCCTTGTTTTGTATTACCTTGAATACTTCGTGTCATTCCCTTCTGGCCCATAGAGTTTCTGATGAGAAGTTAGCTGACAGCCTTATGGAAGCTCCTTTGTAGGTAACAGATTGCTTTTCTCTAGCTTCCTTTAAGACTCTCTCTTTGTCTTGAATTCTTGGCATTTTAATTATGCTGTGTCTGAGTGTGGGCCTCTTTGGATTCTTCTTGCTTGGGACTCTGTGCTCCTGAGGTTTTTCGTTGATCAGGTTAGGGAAGTTTTCTGCCATTATTTCATCAAACAGGTTCTCTAACCCTTGTTTACTTTCAAGCTCCTCTGGTATGCCTATAANGGCCTCTTTGGATTCTTCTTGCTTGGGACTCTCTGTGCTCCTGAGCTTTTTCCTTGATCAGGTTAGGGAATTTTTCTGCCATTATTTCATCAAACAGGTTCTCTAACCCTTGTTTACTTTCAACCTCCTCTGGTATGCCTATAATGTGAATATCATTATGTTTCATGTTGTCCCACAGCTCCCTTAGACTGTCCTCCTGTTTTTTAATTGTTTTTACTTTTTGAGTCTCTGAGAGATTTTTTTCTACCCTGTCTTCTAATTCACTGATTTGGTCCTCAGCTTCCTTTAATCTGCTGTTTATTCCTTCCNCCTCCTCTGGTATGCCTATAATGTGAATATCGTTATGTTTCATGTTGTCCCACAGCTCCCTTAGACTGTCCTCCTGTTTTTTAATTGTTTTTACTTTTTGAGTCTCTGAGAGATTTTTTCTACCCTGTCTTCTAATTCACTGATTTGGTCCTCAGCTTCCTTTAATCTGCTGTTTATTCCTTCCAATGTATTCTTTATTTCTGCTATGTCATTCTTAATTTCCTTCATAGTTTCCGTATTGTTTTTGATGCTGTTGAGCATCCTTACAATCAGTATTCTGAACTCTATATCTGAGAGATTGTTTATCTCCATTTCATTAGCTCTTTTTCTGAAAACCAAACATTTATTTTTAATGTGTTTTTTTTTTTCTTTTCAGGATGTGTCAAATATATGTGTACCAATAACAGCTTCTAATACCCAGGATCGTATGGATTCCTCTGGTCAGTGGACACCAAAATCTGTTTTTCTTTTTAAAATTTGCAAAATTATTCAACCAGATAAACCTCATTTATAAGTACCTTTAGAAAAATAGCATATCTATTGATCTTTTTGTATGATAATATATGAGAAGGAAAGTTACACATTAGAAGTGGTCACCTCGTTTATCTATCTTACACTACAGACAGTGAAGTATGGTATAGCAATTAAAATGGTAAACTTTGGAACCAGAATGCATGTGTAGGATTCCCAGCTCTGTCTCTTTAAGTCCCTGGACAAAACACTTAACCTCTCTGGGCCACAGTTTTCTCATCATTGAAATTCAGTTTAAGATAGCACCTACTTCAAAGTGTTGCTGTGAGGAGTAAATAAACATGTACATATATACATATGTGTTTATATCATACATATATTATATATAGGATATATATGTGATTTATGTATATATGTATGCGTATATCATAAAATGCACATTACAATAGTGCTTGGCACAGAGTAAGTGTTACTGTAGCCACTATTTGTAATAGAGGCTGTTAAAAAACAAAAAGGAAAACAAAAAAATATCAGAAAATATGTTCTTTAAATAATAAACTGAAGAACTTTTCTTAAATTCACACATGCATTCACCTTACCAGTCTTATACTCTCCTAACTTACCAGGTCTACGCACACCTAAAACTGTTGAAAAATACCCAGCTATTGGGCAGGGATTGAACAAAGTAGAGAGGTTGTCCAATTCTACAGCAGACATGAGATTTCTCCTAGATGGCTCTTTAGTATTTCAAGCCAGACTCTTTGGATCCAAAGAGCCTAAGGAGATTGAACAGTCCTATGAAAACCAGCTCTCCACCCAGCACCAGAGTGAATGAGGACTGTGAGTTCCAGTTTCTGCAAACACATCACTGGCCTTGCTTTGGAAGGTTCTGGAGTGAGTGCGAACCTTCTCAAACAGACCAGGGGAGCTTGCCAGAGGCAGCATTGGAAGGAACTGGTTCAGGCACAGAGGCCCCACTCCTCTTGGCTAGTACTAGACCTTTAAGTCTAGGGGCAAAGTTTGTACAAATGGGAGAAGGCCAAGTCATGTAGCTGGCTCCCTCTTCACTTGCTTTTTCATTAGTGAGCCTGGAGATGGTGGCTGCAGTTCAAACCACTCCTTGCCTAGTTCTGCTGTTGTGTGGGAGACAAAGTGCATAGCAGGCAGTGCTGGCAGTGGTTTACTTGGACACACAATGCAGAAAACTCAAGCACTGTTACATGAACACCCTCTCCTTACAGAAATCTACACTAACACCTACGCGGGCGGAGGAACGGTTGAAGGAGGCATATCAGGAGGGGAACTCAACACAGGTCTTGGGACAGCCGTTGGCCTGGCAGCTGGAGGAGCAGTGGGGACACTGAGAAGGAGGAGTTCGACACTAGGAACCCAGAGGGAATATGCAGACACCGGCCTGAACATGGCTTTCTTGGACAGCTATTTCTCTGAGGTAATTCCCCTGCATGGTTACACATAAAATAGTCTTGAGACTGAATCATAATAATAACAATGGCAGTAGGCTCTTCTGAAATATGCTCAGTTATTCTTAACCTTTTCCTAATCCAAAATAAAAAAAATGTATGTCACTTCTCCTTAAAATACAGAAAGTCAATTTGGGGAAGTATTTCANCAATCCAAAATTTATGTCACTTCTCCTTAAAATACAGAAAGTCAATTTGGGGAAGTATTTCATATTTAATGACATAACACATTTAATACCGTGAGAAAGGCTAGCATCTCTTTTCATTCTCCCCTTCCCTTTTTCCACTTTCCTGTCTTCTGTTTCCTTATGGTTTTCCCACTTTGTTTCCCATGGCAACCACAAAGCAGCAAGATCCTGATCAAGAAAAAAAAAAGTGTATTTATGTCCTTCCCTTATGATATCCTTCCTGCTCTGCAGGTGCCCCCAATAGAAAGAAGGAAAAATAAAAGCCAGGATTGGGAAAGAAGAATGGTAACTCAAGAATAGTGTTACCAGTACTTNCAGAACAGAGTGTCACCAGTACTTGGTGATGGATCAGGGGCTAGAACACAGGTCTCCTCTACGCAAGGCCCCACCTACCAAGTGTCCCTCACGCAGAGAAGGGATCAGGGGTCNAAGAATAGTGTTACCAGTACTTGGTGATGGATCAGGGGCTAGAACACAGGTCTCCTCTACCCAAGGCCCCACCTACCAAGTGTCCCTCACGCAGAGAAGGGATCAGGGGTCTATGAGTGTTCCAAAGGGAAAGCCCCTTGGATGTTGGATGGCCTGGCAGGGTAGCATACAGGGTAAATAAATCCTCTTGTGAATTCTTATTTAGTATGTTTATTTCACTTACTTAGCAGTCCATTTTATCTCACATTTCAGTTAGCCTGTTTTACTCCCCTTGTGATAATGCATCAACTTCACAGCTGCTGTTTAAAAAAAAAAAGGAAAGGGTGTTGTAATTGTAAGCTATATTTTAAAATTGGTGGTTACAAATACTATTGCAGACTGTGCATGAATAGGATCGATTATTTAAATGTGTGATNTTGTGATAATGCATCAACTTCACAGCTGCTGTTTTAAAAAAAAAAAATGAAAGGGTGTTGTAATTGTAAGCTATATTTTAAAATTGGTGGTTACATATACTATTGCAGACTGTGCATGAATAGGATCGATTATTTAAATGTGTGATCAATACTACAATGTACATTCCACAAATGGGAACAAATTACATGTGTCATAGAAATGATATTTAACAAATCATTCATAAAAACCTCATTAATATTAAAGGTTTATCATTAATGTCAATTTGCACTGGGCATTTTTTCCTAGTGGTTACAGTTGGTGCTTTATAGGACAAATAAAAGCAAAAATGCATTCTCTTTTCTCTGTGGGCACTGAGGCCACCCTTCCCCAAACATTTTAGCTCTCCACTAAGAAATGGCCCTAGATGTCAGAGGTCATGAGACACAGCCTCTGCCTCTGCCCGAACCTTTGAAAAGCAAAGCCAATGATCTTTTCCTGTCACTTTTCACACCAGTACCACACACCCCAGCAACTAATTCATGCCCCATGCCAGAGGATTCTCCTCTCACCAACTTGCCATTTAAAATATTAAACAGCAAAGGTTTAAGGTAATCCCAATCTCATAAATAATTGACTTCAAGACCTAAAATCATCCATTCCCAATAGTACAATTTAACCCTGGTACAGACCAGAGGGAAAGCAGCCTGATGTAGTATAAAAAGGACAGTGGGATTGGAAGTTGTAGTCTAGAGTGACTTGGGTTTGGGTAATGCCATTCTCCCTCTCTGGGCCTTCAGTGTCCTTATTTATAAAATAAAGAGGAGGTCAGATTATATCAGTGATTCAGATGGTGCTGGGCAGGCCCTACAGGATTTCTTGTGACCCACCAAGGGCCATAGCAGGTGAAAAAGGGGAAAAGAATGGCAGGTCTCTGCTTCCGCCCCACCCCCTTCAAACAGAGAAGTTCCACTTTCACTGATCCTACTTGTTGGGCTCCTATCTAGGATTTCACTTAAGGGGTCTATCATTTAAAATAATTTTAAAATCACAGTAGATAACCTCTTAGTTCCTTCCTCCTGTTAACCTAACTCCAGAGACATCCCAATTCTTTTCACTCAGACCACATAAAACTCCACTGAACATTCTGATATAAGTCTCTGAAGCTTAGAGATATTTAANATTCTTTTCACTCAGACCCAATTCTTTTCACTTTTAACTCCACTGAACATTCTGATATAAGTCTCTGAAGCTTAGAGATATTTAAATCTTTATACTTGCTTCTATTCTAAGTTGATCAAATATCTCTCCTTAAATAATATTTTGAACACAACTCAATATATTTTATTATTTCTTGACCACCTCAGAAACAAAAGACTGTAAATCCAAAAGGTTAACACATTGTCTTTGATTCGTAATCTGAATAAAATATAAATTTACACTTATTAGCTTTCAAATAAGAGAAATAGACATTTATTCTAATTCTATGCACCATTAATGTATAGTGAACTCCCTAAAAATTTCCAATTATTTAGAAAAACAACAAATAATCAGTGTTTTTCTAGGTTCATTCCATAAAATCTTTTTAAATCACATAGCTCTGAGGCACTGATTATTTTAAGAGAAAATAAACTTCTAATTTCTCATTTTTCTTCTAATTTTAGAAAGCGTATGTTTATGCAGATGAAGATGAAGGTCGACCAGCAAACGACTGCTTGCTCATTTATGACCATGAGGGAGTAGGGTCACCTGTGGGCTCCATTGGTTGTTGCAGTTGGATTGTGGATGATTTAGATGAAAACTACATGGAAACTTTAGATCCAAAATTTAGAACGCTTGCTGAAATCTGCTTAGACACAGAAATTGAACCATTTCCTTCACAGCAAGCCTGTATACCTATCAGTACTGATCTCCCTTTGCTCGGGCCTAATTACTTTGTTAATGAATCTTCAGGAATGACTCTCTCAGAGGCTGAATTCCAGGCAGAAATGGCAATGCCTGAGCCCATGATCCACGGGGATATTGTAGTGACTGAGACTTACACCACTACTGATCAATGTATGCAACCCACTACAATTGTTTTTGATCCTCAGCTTGCACCCAATGTTGTAGTAACGGAAACAGTAATGACACCTGTCTACGATGTTCAAGGGAATCTTTGTGTACCTGCTGAGTTAGCCAATGCACAAAATGTAATCTACACTGAGAGAGTACTGTCTAGTCCTGGCATGCCTGACATGAGGAATAGTAGCATGACTGATGGTTGTATGGGACCTGTGATGAGTGGCAGTATTTTAGTAGGGCCAGAAATTCAAGTGACACAAATGATGAGTCCAGATATTCACATAAGCCAAACCATTGGTTCCACATCCCCAATGACATCTCGACATCGAGTAACACGGTATAGTAACATACATTACTCCCAATAGTAATCGCTTTATGGTCAGTATTCCTTGCCCCTTGTAATCACCAACATATCCATCAAAGATGTTTAATGTACTATATTTAACATTTTAATAGTCAACAAATATTCAAATTTTTTAAATTTAATGGCATTCTTTGATTACATCTTTTTTGGGGGGTAAATATGGCTGAGAACTTTAGATACGCCTTTTTAAATTCTTTCTGATTTTAAATAATATGCCAAAAAACTTGCAGAAATGTGTTACATCCTTTGATACTGTCTAATAAAGAGCACATAACTCATAAGGCAACTCTTAGAGGTCTTCAGGCCTGTAGAACTGGTCATGTAAACCAAGATGCCCTTGTCTTTGAAGGTTGCAAAAGAAGTCTTGTCTGCATTCACCAGACATATGTATCTTTAGAGAATTATCTCTATTAAATATTCTTAATTGAAAAAGTGAGTGAAATGTACCTTATTAAAAAGAAATTGAAAAGGAAGATGGAGCATTTATCAATAGAGAAATAAAGTCATTTGTCTCTTCAAACGGCTTCTTCAGATATGAAATATTTAGGGCATGCATAATCTAATACAGGGAAAGAATTTGCCAGCTAAATGCATCACTGAAAATGGTCTATCAAAAGGAATCATATATATGCATAGGTATGCACTATACATATATACATAAATCAATATGGATTAATTTTTGTTGCACTTTATTGATTTATATCATTAACTGTAAATTAATTTAGAATGACAAAAACAAAATTTGACAACACTATCGTAGAAACAGTTCTTAAGAGAAGTAGTAGAGTTTTCCCCTTACAGAGAATTTTTTCCTACTCTTGCTACTTGTCAGAGGACCATGTGGAATATAGTTTAATAAGTATCATTGATCAAGTCATAAAGTTTTTATTTGGCAACCAGATTGCCTCCAAAAGAACCTAACTATGTAAATATTCAACAAGATTTACTTAGAAGCTGATATATATTGAGTGCTGGTCTGGACTCTGTGAATAAAATATATAGGGGAAGAAGACAGATATGATTCCTGTCTTCATAAAGCTTCTAATTCATATCTAGACGTAAAATAAAACTGGAGATACAGGATTGAGTTCCTACCAAGAATAATTAATAAAATATTTAGACCATTACCAAGTTCTGTTTTTCCTTTTAACACTGCTACTTCTAATGAATGAGTGCAATGGAAACGCATGCACAGATTGCTTATTTTCAGTACGCTTAAAGCTGACTTGAGAAAAAGAGATTCTTGTAAGGTAGTTTTATTTAATTCTGTAAAATATGTAAACTATATAGTAGTAACTATGTCTCATAAGATCATGTAAATGAAATAAACTTATTTTCAAGGATTGTTCCTTTGGAAGAAAATAATTTTAGTACTTCTTCCTTTATAAATAAAACTATTGTAGAATTTGGGGCATCTCACATATACTTTTGCTCAATTCTCTCATTTTACAGAATAGGAATCTAGAACTAGAGACTTTAAATTATCACAACCAGCCAGTTGTGGCACAAAACTTGAACCCATTGCTCAGGTACTCCGGCCAGTGTATTTTTTAATTCTATAAAACTTCATCAGACATGGAGAGGGTCTAATTTGGCCTGTTGCATGGTCTTTGCTATTTTCTACTTGGAGGAAAAAATCTCTCTCAAGAAAATAAAATAAGTTTTGTGAAGTTTAAGTATAGAATGGCTAGAGGAATATACTGCCAGGTTATTTACATGTTTTTTAATCATTTCCAAATTACATGTATTTCCAGTCATTACAGTCCTTCCTTACTTTATTCCCAACCAAGATTCTGCCGCATTTCATTACTCTATAGTGTGATGGAATGTGTAGGACAGCCCCAGAGCGATGGGGCCACCATCCCACTCAATCAAAAGCCAGCCACGTAGCACCTTGTACGCATCCAGCGTCGTGCCATATCTTGACATAACAGTTCCTTGAAGTTTTCATTCTGTTCGGCCAGTAATTCTAAGAATTGTGAAACAATTAGTAATTAAATGTAAGTTGCTAATGGGATTAAAACTAAAAATACTATTAGATTCGAGAAATTATGAATAAAATAGTATTAGCATTTAACTGACAGTTTAAAATTAGGTAAAGCCATTTATGAGGAGGGTAAGAAAATTTTCCTGTGAGCTTTTTCTTCTATCAACATGCAAAGATTTAAGGGTGCTTCTGAAAGAGGCAATCTACCTCTGATGGATGCCTTCTTCCATACAACTCATGGAATCCAGACCAGAACCATTTCATTTTTTCTCAACATTATCAGTGAGGAGGAACTCCTCCATCATTCCAAGATTGTCAGCATCATTCATATGTGACGCTAGCCTCTGAAATGGACGTATTTTAAAAACATCATCTCAAACCAGCAAGATTTCCCCTTCAGTGCTTAAGAATTAAGGTTTTGATTTATCTAGGAGGTGAAGGTGACAGAGCACTCATATTAGGATTTAAAAATAAACCCCAAAGCCCAGGAAATGAGATTTAATAAATATAACAGAATATAGTTTGAGTCATATCTCCTGCCCTGCATATTTACTTGAGTGGGTAGTATTATTAAATAAATAAATGGGTTGTCTTAGAAAAGTCTTATCAGGTGAAGGGAAAGAAAGACTATAGGAAGACAGAGTATAAACTTGTTTCGTAAAAACATTATTTTTTAAAAAATTCTTTTTTGGATTAGATGTTTCTGATTGCAATGTATTACTAATGTAATGATGTTTTATATATTTCTTCAATAAAAAATATGTGATAAGAAAAAATGTTTTGTTCTCTTTGGTGTATGTAGTATTCCATACACAACCACACATTCAGAAAAATTTTCCCCACTGTGTTCCTAGGTGAATATTATCTTTATCATTATGTGTATAATATAGAAGAATGGATTCATTTCTGAATTGAAATTCAGAATAATTCATTTATTTGTCAATAATAGAATTTCTCAATACAATCATTATTGTATTAGTAAATGCTCATTATAAACTAACAAATCAATTGCATAATCTCCAGATATTGTTCTAGATGTCATGTAAATTATAGAATTAAATGCCATCTTTTCCCATTGGATTTAAATTCAACAAAATTATTACTATGGATCCTGTATCAGAGGCACCAATTTCTGTTGACATAATGAAAGAATAATTAATTTCAATTAAGGGACTGAGAAAGGCTTTTGAACATGGTGAGATCTGAGCCAGGCCAAGTAAAATTGTGTCTATCAGGGATTCTAAAGGTATAAAAACCAAAACCACAGGATATATCCATAGAATATTAAGCAGTCAAATATTTTTAAATTAAAAATAAGTAAATATTGCCCGGCAAGCATGACGCAGCAGTTAGGCATCGACCTATAATCCAGGAGGTTGCAGTTTGATTCCCAGTCAGGATACATGCCCGGATTGCATAGGGGTGTGCAGGAGGCAGCCGATCAATGACTCTCTCATCATTGATGTTGCTCTCTCTCTCCCTCTCTCTTCCTCTCTCTGAAATCAATGGGGACATATATTTTAAATAAATAAATAAATAAATATGTTTAAATCCCTGAAGCAAATTAAGGATTATAAAATTATTACATAGTCATTTTATATGTTGCTTATTATACTAATTAGTCAAGATTAGTAATTCAATTCCTATTGAATTCTCAAGACAACACTATGTGGCATGACTTATACCAATGTCATAGATAAATACAATAAAGCTAAGGAAAACTGTTATTTTTATGTCAGGGCTTGAGTAGCAGAGTGAAAATTCAAACCCAGGATAGCTTAATCCTAAAAATCTTATTCTGAGCAAATTTTTAAAAATTTAATTATGAAAAGCTATGTGAGAGGCAGATAGTAGAGGATCTCGAATCCCATTAGGGGTGTGAATTTAGTGAAAAATGAGGACCCAGTGAAATTTTTTGTATTGGTGAATGGCTAGGTCCTATTTCACACAACAATACTGAGGCAGCCCTCAGTAGTCCTCATGATAGTTGATGTGCTGTTGACACCAGGACACAGAGTCACCATCATGGCTGATCACTAAGGCAGAGAACCTAGGATGGTGGGCAGGATCTTCCAAAAAGCCAACATTCCAAGGTGAGCTCACTGGCCCCAAAGCCTGGGAGCTCCTCTAAACCACCACTGGAGTAGGTCCATGTTATGTTGTTTAAAGTGACTCCAGTGTATCATTCTATATGCAAAGTATTTGTACACTGAATGCCCTTGACCTTTTTTATTACTTTAGGTGAGGTGTCTAGACTATCTGCAGTTTCTAGAATAGGGCATGCTTTCTCATAACTCTGTCACTCTGCCCCACCCTGGTTCCTTAATGTGAAACCCTCTTCACTCCTCTCATCTACTTAACTTTTTCCTACTCATCCTTCAACATTCCCTTCAAGCTTTGCCACTTTCTGGGAGCATTTCTTGATATGTCTTCCACGGTCCTAACTTGCTTGCTTAGCTAGCTCTCCTTTACTCCCACTATTAACACTCTAGTTTAACACACCTATGCCTTACAGTCTGTGAGCATCGGAGATAAAGACAACACTGTTCTCATTCTATATCTCCACTGTAGTAGAATGTCTAATACAAAGCATGTACACTTTAACTTTGGAAATGAAGAATACAGTTAAATTCGCTCAGGCACCTAAAAGGAAGTATCTGCAGCTCGACAGTGTTGCCTCTAGACAGCAGCTTTTTGAGTGATGTCTGAGAAACCTATGTAAATGCAAGTATACAACTTATGAAGACAACTGCATTTCAGGAGAAATTTATCTTTTGCAAAAAGAATAATAAAATAAAATTATTGAAAACAAACATTCTTTTTGAAAGAAATTATGGTATAGCTAAATAAAATACATTTTAAAATGTTACAGAGAAAGTGGTTTTACGCAGAATAAATACTTTAGAAGAAAGTTAGCCCGGCCGGGCGTGGCTCAGCGGTTGAGCGTCGACCTAGGGTCCAGGCGATCGAGGTTCGGTTCCCGGTCAGGGCACATGCCCGGGTTGCGGGCTCCA